CTGCCTTATTGGGCCTGCAGGGCTGCAGCATGGATGCAGTCATGGAAATGGGTGTAAGGTAGGATGTGTTGGGCTCCTCTGCATGCTGCACACTCCCTGCTTGGCCTGAGGACAGGAAGATTCAAGTCTTCCTTGCTGGAAAAAGAGACTCTGAAGAAGATTCTGGGTGTCCTCTACCAGACAGAGATGAACACACTGACTTCTCAGGTAGGGAGGGCAGGACACCCACCAGAGCAGGATCTGCATGGCTTCATGTGTTGGGGGTTTAAAAGTTAGTTGTGAATGATGTGTTGCCTTTCTGAATAAAAAGACTCCTTATTTTATATATCTATAAAGTGAAGTTTGAATGTTCTTCTATATGTGTATCCTACATTACATATAGAAGAGAATTAAGTCATCTATTTCTACTCACCTATTCAAGAAAATACCAACTATATATTCTTAAGTGAATTGAACAGAAGAGAAGTAATACTGAATGGAACACTATAAATAACGCAGTGGAAAATAAAATGGAAAAACCACAAGGGCATCCTTCCCAGGATGAGAGGTCTGCCATTGACCAGCTTCTCTCTCCTGTCCTCAACTGCTGTGCAGGTCTGTGTCTCTTCACTGCTGGGTGGAGAGAGTGTCAGTACACAAGCTCTCTTGAATCTCAGGAAAGATCAGGGACATGGCCTTCTTTCAGCATTTTTCAGTGGCTATAATTTATAATTAACTCAGCAACTGTGCTGTGGAACATTCATGGTTTCTAACTGTCCACACCTTAACTGATTAAGAAGATAATATGGTGTCTATCAATCTCATTTTTTATAATGACCCTTAGAAGTGGAATTTCCAGGTTAAATGTATATAAGATGAATTTCAGGGTCACAGATATTTCACTTGAATCCTCAGCATAGAGTTAGAGCCTGGTAGAGGAAGACTGAGTCTGCTCAAATCTCTGTGGAGATCTGAAGTCAGAGAGATGGTCCAGGCAGAGGAGCAGGACACCATAGCAGCTAGCAGGAATCATGGCTAAAAAAGGCCCAGTCCAGGCTGCCTCATCCATCAATGTGTTCTAAGGAAAGCGTCACACACTCCACAATGGACAGGAGAGAGCTGGAATGGTTTCAGAGCTCTTCCCTACATGCCTGAGGCCCCCTGTCTCACTCAGGGGAGCTCTGTTTGAGGTCAGTCTGTTACAGAGCCCAAATTGACTGAATGTTTTCCACCCAGGTGCAGATCTGAACTGCCACATATGGACTCACCATAGCTATGGAGCAGGACAGGTGTTTACAGGGAGCAGGTCAGGAGATGGGGACACTGCAGGCAGGTCAGGGTATGAAGCCTTAAATAAGAGACCAGGCCCTCACCAGGCCCAGTTTCCTCCAGCAGTAACCACACCATGCAAGAATGTGCATTAAATCTGAGTAATTGAAAGGGGTCACTCACAAAATTATATATTATAGAGATAGTTTGAAGATACAAAAGTAAATGGTAGCATCCGTAAGTAAAATGAGATGTGACCTTTAATGGATATGTGGTGTCCATTGATGTCCCCGAACCACATGCATCAGAAGGAAATAGTCTGATGAACAGAGCAATAAGGAGCACAGGCAATGGGTAAAAATCACAGCTGCTTAATAACAACAATAAAGCTGGGATACAATAAGTGCACTGGTGAATTTTATACAGTATATAATAAAGAATAAATACTGATTGTTTTTCAATTCTTCGATCAAGTTGAAGGAAAAACCACCACCAACTTCTTTTAAGTGACAAAGTTAAAGTTATCCTGAGAATGAAGCCAGACAATAATGTGTTAAAAATAATATAAATGAAAACACTGTGTTGGCTAATATTCCTACCAAACATACACAAAAGTGTTCAGCTAAATGTTTGCAAGGTTAACTCACCAGGATATTCAAAATTAACCAACATGATCAACACTGGGCTCAATCTCAGTGGTGCAAGAATGGTCCTGCTCTAACAAACTATCTGTTCCCACTGCTTTTAACATGTTGTATCTTACTATGTTTTACTATATGCGATAGTATTAAGAAAAAGTTTTATAGGCAAGGTGATAATATAGAAACCATTGTTCATTTTCTGTTAACTGGTTCTAACTATCCTGTAATTCTTTCATTCAGTTGAATGGCTTCACACTGTCTTGATATGCTTGATGCTATCGTATATGAAGTTATACTCAAATAATTTGAGGAATGAGGCAATATGGTGACTACTATTATGTTAGATTATCTGGGAGTGAAACATAATTACGTTTAAATTGTTCCATTCTGACCAGTGTTGTTCTATTACAATGTCCTCTTTTATCTCAATCTCCACCCTTTTTTAAAAATTAAACTACTTTTTATTTTTTTTCAATTAAAGGAAAACTAAATTTAAAAATAGCGGGATATATTATAGTAACTATTTGTTTTCCTATTAACTTGATTTGAATGCCAGTATTGCTCTCCACATCTTGTTCTGTCTGATTTTACTATATTCTATTTTGTATGATAGTATCAAGTTTGAGGGTATAGGCAACCACTTTGAAGGCAATAAGATTTATTATGATGCCCACTATAGTTTGACTATTATCTTCTTTTGAAATCTTGCAAGGTCTCCAGTGTAGGTTTTATTGGTCTTGTTATGTACTGTTTTGATCAATTCTATTATACATGATGATATAGCAACTCTTTTTAAAAATAGCAAGAGGCACAATGGTAACCATTTTTTATCATCTGATATTCTATTTTTGCATCATGTACTATGTCCATCCTTCTGTTCTAACTGACTCTGTTTTATTTAGTCATGTTAAGATTCATTCTCTTATAAAAAATTTAATAAGAACTGTGGGAGTAAAAAAACTCAAAATGTGTAATTGTTATTGTAAAAAAGAGAGGAAAGGAAGGTGGTCTAAGGGATATAACTGCATGCTTGAGTGTGTAGGATGGAAAACCATATTACTGAGCTTTTGTTGGATCACTGAACAGAACTTTCTGCAATCTCACTGTAAGAATGTCCACTTTATATGCTTTAATTTTATAATTTGGACAACTGTTTCTAAGATGACAATATGTAACCTATTAACTGTGATTTCTTACTGTATTTTTTCTTGAAATACTGTATTACTTATACCCTTTTACTGCTTTTTAATATTTCCTTTCTTTTTTCTCTTTAATTAAAAAATAATCAAATCTGGAATGGATATCTTTTATTTATTTATTTTTTGGCTCTGGAGACCAAACTCATGACCTCATACCTGCCAGGCAGGTGCTTAAGCCACTCAGCTAAATCCCCAGCCCACCAATGGATATCTTTTACATCTTGTCATCTTCACAGTAGTTGCCTCTTCTCTTGAACTTGATACCAGCAAGCACACCAAATGTGAATAAAATCAGTCAAGGCCAAATAACATTCAAACAATCCAGCTTCAAAGAACATCAGTCATAGAAGACAATGTAAGTAATATAGGGATTCAGTTTTAGTTAATAGGAAATTAAGGATAATTACCATGGTATAACCTGCTCATTTTGGGTTATCTCTCTGTGCCCTCAAATCTAATATGAGTAGACAGACCAGAACAAAATATAACCAAACTAAACAGAGCAACAAGACTACTGTAGCTTTTAAATCCTAATACACTTTTAACAATGTCCTCTGCCTTCTTTTTTTAGGCAATTCCTCACCTTTCTCGTTCTCAGGATACTATTATTCACTGTTCAGAGTGATATTAGTCTAGTCTCTTATGTTCCATTTCAGCATACATAAAGATAAAGACAGCCACTACAAAGAGAATGAGAGACATTATGGTAGACATTATCGACTTCCCCAAAATCAGTCTTGAAGATCGAAAAAGCCTGCATCATCCTGTAATTATTTGATTAGTTCTATAATATTCAGTATATATTCAATGTGTGTGAAGATGGGAACAACTATTTGGAAGAAAACTAGAGACAGTAAGATAGACAGTGAACATTTCCAGTGGACTTGCTTTGAAATCTGTGTTTCCTTAACTTGTTTCCTTATGAACTGTTCTGCTCTGTTTCACCATGTTTAATCTTACCCTCTTTAAGAAAAAAAAGTGTTTAGGACATATAGGCATAATATTAACTTTTTGATGGATCTTTGAGGTGAACTGTTGACAGTGTCATTATTTGAATATCACTTTGTATGCTTTAAATTTGTAACTTGAACAACTACTTCTAAGATGACAATATGATACTAATCAACTAGTGATTTCTTATTGTTTATTTTTCTGAAATTCTGTATTATTTCTACACTTTTTTCTCTTTAAATAAACAACATTACAATTCACCAAAAAATATAAAATTTAAGTTTTAAAGACAAAATATTAAGTACATAGACACTATCCATACTTAAAAGTGAAAAGCCCATTTCAGTTTAGCATGTTTAATTACAAGATGCCATGTTGAAGCACAAAAACACTTTAAAAATCTAGAGAGGTACAAGTGATTAACTGAAAATCATAAAACATATGCAATTGAATAGAGCTCCACCTCAGATTTGTCATTTCTGGAATATCTGTGAAGAAATATTGACATCAAACTTCTGTATTGATTATTTCTTCAGTTCTCCTTGGGATTTTTAAAGTAAACTTAGATTTAAACTATCTGAACAGTGATGCTTTTCTATGCATTTAACAAGAAACATGGATTGCCATATTTCTCACATTGTCAATCCTCATAGCATCTCTGCCCAGTGAGCTCTTTCAGATATGTAACAATGATCAAGTATGCTGAGAATATTCCCATAACACATAGGATGTATCTCTTGTGTAAGTTTATTCATGTATTTCACTTACAATCTGGCTGCTGAAAGTGTCTCCACTTGCTTACATAGCCAGTGGTTCTTCCCAGTGTGAATTCTTTCATCTGTTTTGCAGTGACTATATGCGGTAAAACCTTTGCCACATTGTTATATACATAGGGTTTCTCACCAGTGTGAAGTAAATGATGTATTTTACAGTATCCATGTGTGGTGAAAGCTTTCCCACATTCTTCACATACACACAGTTTCTCAACAGTGTAAATTTTATAATGTATTGGACAATGAGCATTTCTGCTGAAACCTTTCCCACATTCCTTACATATGTAAGTTTTCTGCCCAGTGTGAAGATTTTCATGCATTATGCAATATGTACGTGTGCTGAAACCATTCTCATGATGCCTATATACACTGGTTTTATATTGAATGTGAACTTTCATGTTTCTTACAATCTCCATGTGTTTTAAAAGCTTTCCCACATTGCTTACATACATATGGTTTCTCTCCAGTGTGAATTCTTTCATGTTGCTTACAACATCCAGGTCTGGTAAAAGCTTTCCCACATTCCTTACATACATAGGGTTTCTCTCCAGTGTGAATTCTTTCATGAACCTTATAACTTGCGCGTGTGTTAAAAGCTTTCCCACATTGCTTACATACATATGGTTTCTCTCCAGTGTGAGTTCTTTCATGTACCTTACAATATCCAGGTTTGGTAAAAGCTTTCCCACATTCCTTACATACATAGGGTTTCTCTCCAGTGTGAATTCTTTCATGTTGCTTACAACGTCCAGGTCTGGTAAAAGCTTTCCCACATTGCTTACATACATAGGGTTTCTCTCCAGTGTGAATTCTTTCATGAACCTTATAATTTGCACGTGTGTTAAAAGCTTTCCCACATTGCTTACATACATATGGTTTCTCTCCAGTGTGAGTTCTTTCATGTACCTTACAATATCCAGGTTTGGTAAAAGCTTTCCCACATTCCTTACATACATAGGGTTTCTCTCCAGTGTGAATTCTTTCATGTTGCTTAAAACATCCAGGTCTGGTAAAAGCTTTCCCACATTCCTTACATACATAGGGTTTCTCTCCAGTGTGAATTCTTTCATGTATTTGACAATGAATTTTACTGCTAAAAGCTTTCCCACATTTCTTACATATATGCGATTTCTGCTCAGTGTGAAGTTTTTCATGGATTATACAATAACTACGTGTGCTGAAAGCTTTCTCACAGTGCTTACATTTATAATGTTTTTCTCCAGATTGAAGACTTTCATGTACTTGACAATAGGTACATGTTGTAAAAGCTTTCCCACACTCCTTACATATGTAGGGTTTCTCTCCTCTGTGAATTCTTTCATGTTTCTTACAAATTCCATGTGTGGTAAAACCATTCCCGCATTGCTTGCATACATAGGGTTTCCCTCCACTGCAATATTTTTCATGGATCTTAACATTGTGGTGTGTTTCTGTTTCTTTCACATTCACATTACCTTCTGCAGTACAAAAAAATACTTCTTTACACAGACTCCAAGATGCATGTCCATAAGATTTCCCTAGGTTGTCATTTCTGTAAAGAAAAAAATCACATATAGGATTTATAAGCATATTACTATGCTTTTCTTGGAGAGTTGAACAAAACTGTTTGCAGTCTCACTGTTTGAATCCCCACTTCATATGTTTCACTTTTGTATTTCATAACTATTTCTATGAGCAGCATATGTAATCATCATCTTGCGATGTCTTACTGTTTATTTTCACTTTGAAAGCAATATTATTTCTACTTATTTTTGTCTAATTTAATCTTTCCTTATATTAAATTTAAAAAAAGAAAAATTCACAGTGAAATGGGTCTCTGTGTAATGACTGCATTAATATCAAGTTCTGTTTTTAATGCCTGCTAAGAAATACTGACCATGAAGCAACAGAATAGCCTTGTAAGATATGTTGAAAACAACCATTCCCAAAAGACTGGTACACATTTGGAAATCTTAAAAATTGGTACTTTGAAATGCAGAATCTTTAGCTTCACTTTGGGCATGGGTACATATGTGTATCACATGCAGATTATTCTCATATGTTTCACTATCACAATCTCCCTTCTGTCCTTAACCTGTAGTTCCCTTTTCCATATGGTCAGTCGTACGTTTCTCTAACAACTCTGTTTAATTTCATCCCACATTTTGTATTTTTGTTTCTCATCTAAAAGAAACTCTGTGACCTTTTAGGTTTTATAGCTTAGCTATTTCACTGAATTGATGGGTGAAAGACCCATCTAATTCTTATAGCAAATGATATTATATTATTTATTTTTTGACATTATATAACACATTTTTTTCTTTTCTTGGCTGGGAATGAACAACAGGTATTAGCATAAATCTGTAGCTTTTTAAAAATCTATTTTAAGAGATTTTCACTGAACATTAAGCTGTGAAGTTTGAACTTGAATTTGCCATTCTGCAAAATCTGATTTCTAGTGTGCTGGGTTTACAACAATGCACAACCACGGAGAGTCTAATAACATTTTCCTTCTCCACAAATCCAGTGATAGATAGCTAAGATTCTTCAAGGCTTGATCTGTTATAATTTGATCTGCTTTATATATGAGTAAGAATGTATCAGTATTTTATGCAGATTTTGAGATTTGAAAAATATCCAGGACAAGTATGAGGGGATCAATGTCTAGAGACAACTGCATACTGATATTCAAAATGAGTGCACTAACAGTCCACCAGCCTACTAAGAATATTAATCAGAATCGCTGATTGTCTAGAGGATGGCTTATAAACATGAATACAAAGTTTTATTTCAAATTCTATTGCAATCTTAGCAATTGTTAGATAATGAATGTGTTGTGTTCACATGTAAAAATGGGTAGAAAAACTGAAGGCAGAATGTCATAACTCAAAGTGTATGCCTTTCATCCACATCTATATGCAATGTCATACATTTTCATGATTTAATTCCTTCATATATACACTAGCTTATACATCTGTGGAGAATATTACTGACATTAAATTGAATAGTGCTTCATTTCTTTGGTGGTCATTTCTCTGCTGACTTACTAATTACTCAGGAACATTCCTCTCCTTGTGAGTGGGAATTACCTTAAGTATCTCCAGTAAATTTTGCCTTCTTTTTCAGCTTCCAGGATATCCCCAAGTCCTCCTGAATTGGAGACATAGAAATACCAGGACTCAGTTGAGTAATACATACAAATTAATAGATTTTTGTTTAGATTTATGATATAATGTGTCCAGGTCTGAACTATTTTTAAAAATATTTTCATATTCTTTTTAACGAAACAGCACTAATGAGAAACAAACAATATTCTGACAGCATGAGTGCCAAAAAGATTTCGTCCTTACCAATTGCAGCCATGTTCCTAAAGATTTCACCCATCACATCTCTGTAGAGGTTCTTTTGGGATGGACTCAGCAAACTCCACTCCTCATTGCTGAAGTTCACAACCACATCCTCAAAGGTCACCGCCTCCTAAAGGATCATACATATATTTCTCAAAGGAAGGTTGATACCCCAGGTTTGGGATATCTTAAATTCTCTCCTACAAATCTGAATCAAAAGCAAAGTGTGGTGGTGCATATCTATAATCCCAGCACTCAAAAGCTGAGACAGGAAGGCATCAGTGAGGTCAGGGCAATTCTAGGCACTAGGGTGTTCAAATCCAGCTGATATACATATGGAAAGCTTGTCTCAATATAACAAAACTAAACTAAACAAATAAAGGCAAACAAAACAGCTGAATGAAAACTGATTTGTTCAAATTTAAATCCATGTCTTGGTCGTTAATTTTTTGTCTATACACATTTTTGAAGACAGCAAATTTGATGCTAGATTGCAACTCACTGCTAATGTAACAGCCAAATAGGAGCACTGATTCTTGTGCTGAGTCATGGCAAGATTCCCTGTGCACTTTCTCTAAAGCAGAGCTCACAGTGAGAAGCCTGCAGGACCAGCAAACACAAAGCACAGAGGCAGATAAATATCTCATCAATTGACTGGGAAGCTAACTAAGCACCTCCACTCCCTGGTCAGCGGTGGTGGTTTGGCAGACTGCAGCCCTTCTAGGGGGAAAACCAACAGCCACTCCTGAGATGCATGCCCTGCTGGAATTTAGGACACTATGAAGCCAAGCAAGCACCACTTCTCCCTGGTAAGCAGTGGCAGTCTGGAAAACTGCAACCCTTCCAGGGGGAGAACCAGCAGCAGCTCCTGAGATCCATGCTATGTTGGAACTTAGGACGCTGTGAAACCAAACAACCAGCCTGTCTCCCTAATAAGCAATAGTGAACCTACTGATGCACCACCTAGAATCAAACATCCCACTTCCTTATCCCTCTTCTCCTGAACCTACTAATGTACCACCTAGAATCAAACATCCCACTTTCCTAACCCTCTTCTCCTACAAAATTTCTGTTCAGGGCTTCTCATTTACACCACTTAGATATGTTCATTGTAGAGAATTTCCATATTTAAACTGTCTATTAACACCCAAGCTACTAAACCAGCTCTTAATTCAGAGATGACACCTCTATTCCTTTCCATTCAGAAGGATATCACGTGTATATGTCCATGCAAATGCGTAAATTTTGGCATTTTTCGATGATAATTTAACAGGTAGCCCTTTCTGGAATTTGTCCTTCACAAATTTTTACCCTGTCCTTGATAACACTTTCATATTTGCTTCATTTTTCTCAGACTTCAAAACTCTATGGCTGTTTTCACAAACCTAGTCTGTGAGCAGGGGTGACACCTAAATAACTAAGTATGTTCAGAAATTATCTTGCAATGTTCAAGAATACACAGGAGTTCACCAGTTGTTTGGGAAGCCTTTCTCCACTGAGGCACACTACTACACATCTCTGAATTCTCAGGACCTTTGCCACTACCTGTCATGAGAATGGAAATATGAGAACATACTATAAATTTAGGAGATCACTATAAATACAAAAAAGCCCAAGTTTAAGTTGAGCCATTGTGGCTATGAGGCCCTGCATTACAGACATTAATAAACTCTGGACATTCCAGATCTGCTACTCTGAGGAAAGAGAGCATAGACCTAGCTCATTACTGCTCTACAAGCTACAAAAGCATGATAGTCAGGGTCTTCCCAAGCTCCTCCCAATGCCTAAGATGGTGGACTTACCAGGCTAGCAGTGAATTTCAAAGATGATACTTGAGTCTGCTGCTGTCATAGTGAAGCCAGGGTTCTGGTGACCCCAAATTACCCTTGCCAATGGCAAGAGGCAAAAGGGATAGTGAATGACACATGGCCAAAGCTGGAGGACCTCAGGAGCTGAAGCTAACTAAATACCTGAGGCTTCTGACAGCGAAACTACTCCTAAACCCTGGAACTGGTTTCCCCCAATCCATCCTATTTCTGGGCTCCTATCCACAACCTCACTATTCCATAGATCCAGGATCTCTCAGGTTCTTTGCTAATCAGGCCACAGGACATCAAAAGTATTAAATCAAAAATATTAAATGAGATCCAGCAAGCATTTTGCTACCACTGTTGTACTCAGAACAGGTAAATCATGCTGAGACACCAGAACAGACAGAAGTCACAGCCAGCAATGGCCCATCTCATTGGACAGTTCATATAGCGTGCCCCTTCATCACTGATTGACTCCTGCTCTATTGCCCTCCTTCTGAGTCAAGAATAAACAGAGAAAGGAACCCCTCCCTGCAAGAGAGGATCCAAAAAGATAGACTGTAGTGCAGAGACTTCTGGAGCTGCCATTCTTCTACAGTGGTGAACTCAGATCGACAGAGGTGTGTTTGTATTAAAGAGCTTTACCTCAGACTTTTAATTTTTAAATCCATTCTATTTCAAGGACAAAAGAACACATCAACTAAAATTAAATTTCAAAACATGTCAATCAGGGGGCAACAATGGTATATACATTGCACATTGTCATCCCCAGATCATTCACCCAGAGCACAAGACATCTGTACTCAATTTTCCAAACAGTACTGTTACAGGGACCTGAGTTATTTAAATACTATTGGCATGAGACATGGCTAGTTCCCCCAAGGAGCCCATGCAGGAGACCAGATAACTTGCAACTATGGGGAAGACTGACACCTCATGCTATGGGCCAAGGCTCAAGACAAATGATAAGCAAATTCATCCATATCCTAAGGATTGATATTCTAAATAGTTCCCTAGCACTCTGAGGAAGTCAGGAGTCACCTTTCAAAGAAATGTATCCTTATCCTAAAGACTGACATTCTAAATAGTTCCTATCATCCTGCAGAACTCAGGAGTCACCCTCCCAAACCCCTAAGGGAAGTCACAGCTGCCTAAGAATGCCTGCTTTCTATGTGACTCCCTTCCCACTTTGTTCCCAATTAAATCAACTTTACCTGAACTTATAATCTTATTGGCTACCATAACTCTGACCCATCTTATGCCCATCAGCATTGTGAGTTCTTAGTTTTCCCCACCTTAAACTCATTTCACCACATGATTTTACTCTATAAAGGTCCCTAGAATGGACAGTGTTTGGCAACCTGCTCAGGACACCTTCTCTCTCTCAGGCAGCTTTTTTTCCCTCTCAATAAGTATATTCTTCTCTTAATCTCTGTTGTTCCTAAAATTCATTCTTGGACTTTACAGGATGAAAACCTAATATCAGACATAGTAGACAGGGAGATTCATTCAAGTATATCAATATCAGTATAAACTTTTCTCTTTCTTGAAGTCAGAGAAATCCAGTAGTTTGTATCACACATTGTTGATCTCACCATTCCATGGATATTTGCATTGAAGGCTTTTATCCCTGCCTTTAAGTGCTGCTTCATTTTCTGAAACTGAACTGATCTGTAATTTTGGTTATGGTATTGACAATGCATTAAGGAATTGACTCAAAATATTTCTTATGAATGGTTTACCAACAGCCGTGGAGGTAGACAGATAGCAAAAATTCTTTGTTTTGATTTCTTCATTCAAACCAAAGGATGTACTTGAAAGAGCTTTGCCCTTCAAACAATTACAGGACCTCATGGTGGTAGTTGAAGGTGGAAGAAGGTGAAATCAGGGATGCTTACTCATATGGGAAGTTCCTCTTTTCTCCTTGAATACAACTTCCTCTTTCTTTCCAGGGGCCGAAAGAAAATTCCCATCAGCTCCTTGCATGACATCAATGTCCCCTCCAAGCACCACATCCAGTCAAAAGTCACATATACCCCATAACCCTATAGTCAGTCGGGGCAGGGGGCAACCCTTGGTGGCTGTGGGCTCCTCTCCACATTCTTTAAATAAAAGGCCACTTTTACATTTCTTATATTCTGCTTCTCTACTGTGCTAATTTACCTCCTCAGTAATCTCAGTAATCTAACCCACTTTAAACCTATCTCATCGCATGATTTTATTCTGTAAGGTCTCTAGAAAAGACAGAGTCTTTTGCTACAGGCTCAGAATCCCTCCTGTTTTTCTCAGATAGAAGCTTTCCAATAGGATTTTTGGTGTAGTAAAGAAGAGAATACAAAGTTAAAATTGCCTTTATTCTAAGAATATGGGGAGAACCCCATGACCACTGGGTGGTCTTGCTTTTTCTTCTGGAAGTATGTGGGTGGCATACATATAGTTTTTGACTTGGGTGGTGCTTAATTAAAGATGGCATTGCTGATATGCATGTAACTGATTGAGATTCTTTTCTGGCCACAGGTAGGTTGAATAGGGGAGAGGAAAGGGACTTCAAGGTAAAAGTCCCCTGGTTCCACCTCCCAATTCCAAACTATCCTATTTAGAGCCAAATACTTTCACTTTGTTTCTCTCAATAAATATTATCTGCTCTTCAACTCTGTTCTTCCTAAAATTCATTTTTGCACTTTATAGAACACAAACTCATACCCGACATAGAAGGTCAGGAATTTCATTCCACTTTATCACGGTATGGTTGCCTGTATTTCTAACTAACTCAGCTGCCTGTAACTTTAAGAATTGTTTATCAATTTGACTTGGGGTAATTGTAGCAAATAAAATGTTCTTAATGGATATAGGGAAATATATCACTAAATTGAAAAAAATGATTATCACAGTTTTTCTAGCTAGCAACAGCCAACATTTTCAACTTTCAAGTATGTGGGAAAAAAAAATAAAAACAACTCAGAAAATACCAATCCTATAGGGGACACTACATCATTCACTGTAATTGCCATGTTATGTGCAGGTATTTCATAGACCACAAAGGAAACATTAAGCCTATTAATTAACAAGTATCAGTTTCAATAAATGTGCTCATAGCACTGCATCACTGACAACTGTGAGTTTTTTTTGTTTTTGTTTTTTTTTTTTTGTAAGAGAGATTGAACTCATGTCCTTGTGCACTCCAGGCAGCTTCTTGTATCACTGAATTCAATCCCCAGAATCAACAACTTTAGGTACGAACTATGACTATTAACAATGTTTAATTTGCCATTGACATATTTAGTTATAAATCTTGTAAACCTACATTTTCGCA